TAAGGCCCTGGGTTTGATCCCCAGCACCATGAACAAAAAGCTAACAAATTCATAGAAAGTGCTTAGTGTGGTATCTGGCACAGACAGTGTGTCCCCTCAATGATAGTATCCTTGTCAGTGTTGTCATTTCTTTTTTGTGGTTGTTGTTGTTGGTTTCTTTTTATTTTTTTATTTTTTTTATTTTTTTTATTTTTGAGGCAGGGTCTTACTATGCAGTGCAAGTTGGCCTTGAACCTGCTTACGTAGCCCCTGCTGACCTCAAACTCACAGCGATCTTCCTGTTTCAGCCTCCCCAGTGCTGGGATTATAGGCGTGCGCCACCATACCCAGCCAGTGTCATTATTTCTATGAGAGGGGAGAGATGCCTTGACTGAAGTGGATGCAATGATCCCTTTTTTGAGGAGGTTTCTTTGAGCTACATCTTTTGGAGAGGGCAGATTTATCAGGTGAAGGGGAAGGAGGCAGAGCATCTCCATAGGGGGGCCTGGCGGGAGTGAGGAATTGCAGTGATGAGGAGTGGCATAGTGTGGTATTGCTGAGTGCGAGGGAGGATGAGGGCCAGCCCACATGTGGGGAAGCCGGACTGGGAAGATAAGGGAGACTTCCACAGGGCTGGCATGAGGAGCGTTCATAGATCTGTGCAAGGTATTTCTCAGGCTTCACTTAATAAAGACCAGGGGCTGGGGATTTAGCTCAGCAGCACAGAGCCTGCCTGGCAAGTGCAAGGTTGTGAGTTCAATTCCCGGTACTGGAAAAAAACAAAAAAACAACAAAAAAATGTAAAGATCTGTCATGCATCAAAAACTGCGAGATCAGCAATCAGCTTAATTAAAATGAGTAACCGCATGAACACGAGTGGGTTTAAAGCAACAAAGCCCTTTGTGTGGCAGAGAAGAGGCACTACGTCTGCAGGGATGGGGTAAGGAATGGATGAAATCACTTTTAAATTCAGGTCCTCTTTCTTCTTTTGGAGCTGGTTACACTTTTTGGAGACCAACTCCAACCCCACATCCATTAGAACACATAGGCAGCCCTCCACCTACTTTCACCCTGAAAAAAAAAAAAAAAAGAAAAAAAAGAAAAAAAAGAAAAAAGAATGTAAGAGAATGTAAGTGTGAAAATTACCTGTAATTCCATCTGCTACCTCCCAGAGATAACCTTTGTTAACATTTCAGGGCACAACCTTCCAGACTTTTTTCCCTCTGCATATTTATTTATTCATTATAAAAATGGGATCACATCATGCATATGGTTTCGTTATCTATTTCTTCCACTCAACAATATATTGTGAACATCAGCACATACAGATACACATCATTGTTTTAAACTGTGGCGCTGTATTTCCTTGTGGGCACGACTGTCCCCTCATTTACTGAACTAATCCTCTCTCGATGGACAGTTAGGTTTCCAATTGTTTGCCATCATAAGCAGTGATGTGATAAATATTCCTGTACACATATCTCTGCATACTACAGGGATAAATTTCTAGAAATGGAACTGTTAAGTCAAAGATGACACACTTTCTGAAGGCTTTTGATGCAGGGAATAATGAGTTCCTTTGTCAGAAGAAAGACCACGTCCCACTCTCCTGAATAACCTTGGGTAATAAATGTTCTTTATATTTGCTAAGCCGGTAAAAAATATCTTATTGTTTTTATTTTTATTTCTTTGGTTATATGTAAGGCTGAGCTTTTTGTCATGTCATTTGTGTTTCTTCCTTAATGAGTTGTCACCTCATTTACTTGGCCTTTTAAGAAGATGCCCAGCTTAGTTGGGGATATAGCTCAGCAGCACAGTGCCTGCCTGGCAAGCCTGAAGTCCTGAGTTCGAGTCCTGGTACCCCCCCCTACAAAAAAAGATTCCCAGCTTAAAAAAAATAGGATTATCATCTGAAAAAAAAATGTCATATTTGGTATTTTATATTATAACTCTTCATGTATTAGGGATATTCTTTTTTATTTTTATTTATGCTACTTTTAAAAATCAATTGTGCTGTGTTATAAGTGTGGTAAACATCTTTTCCAGGTTTACCTTTTAAGTTTATTTATGGTATGCAATATTCTGTTATACTGATGTTTAAACTCTTTTTACCACTGTATCTATCTTTTATCTTAGATTTCTGTCTCTGACTGATGTGGTGGCGCACATGTGTGATCCCAGTACTCAGGAGGCTGAGACAGGAGGATTGCCATGAATTTGAGGTCAGCCTGGGCTACATAGTGAACTCAAGGCCAGCCTGGACTGCAGAGTGAAACCCTGTCTCAAAAAAGTGAAAAAAAGAGAAAAAGAGATTTCTGCCTCTGAGGTTATGCTTATGGTGTAGAGTGAGCTCTTTTTTTAGAGTGAGCTTTTCAGGGAATGTTGTTGGAAGGTGTCCATTATGAGTGCTGGCTCAGGAATCTACAGTTCTACTCAACTCCAGACTCTTATGTCCAGCGGCCAATTCAGTATTCTTACTTGGAAGTTGGATGCATATTTCACACTTGCCCTGTATCCCAGAACTTTAATTTTTGTTGAACACAGTGGCACTTGCCTGTAATCTCAGCTCTTTGGAGGCTGAGGCAGGAGAATTGTAGCTTGGAGGTCAGTTTGGTCAAATGAGGGGTGTAGCTCAGCACTCCCCAGGTTCAGTCCCTAGTCCTACAAAACAAAACCCTTGATGTTTTATTCTTTCACTTCCCTCCCTGAATGCCCTGATTTAGGAAAAGCTCCAGTGTTCCTCCGTTGCTTGGGCCACAAACCTGAGTTATTCTTTTTTGCTGTCTTTCTCTCATATCTTAGAACTGACCTATCTGCACTCATGTCAGTGTTACTTCCAGACTGGGTCCAGAGCCTGCGCTGTTAGCACCAGCTCCTGCCACCCTAACGAAGGCTACTGGTCACAGTCTGGACTTCAGCAGTGCCTGCTGCCTTGGTCTCTGCACTCTCTCCCACCCCCACCACCAGTCTGTTCTTCGTCCAGAAACCAAAGTGAGCTACTAGAAACAAATCATCTTACTTCACTAGATCCTCCCGGAACATCCCAACACACTAGGATGGAGCTTTTCTTGTTGGCATACTCCTCCTCTACCTGGGTTTTTTCCCAGAGCACTTATTCCTGTTCTCCATTTTTACAGATATTTATTTGTTGTCATAGATTTCTCCTCCCTTGGAACATTAAATTCCATGAAGTTAGGGATTTGGGTATTTGGGAGGTGTGTGCTTAATAAACATTTTGCTTTGTTTTGTTTTTATTTTTTTGAGACAGGGTTTCACTACGTAATTTAGGCTGGCCTCCAACTCTTGATGTAGCCCAGACTGGCATTGAACTTGCAGTGATCCTCCTGCCTCAGCCTCCTGAGTGCTGAGATTACAAGTATATGTAATTTGTGAATGCATGTCAGTGGAATGTCTGTGTGTTGCTGTATCTCCTGCATGACCTCCGTGGGACTATCTGTGTGTGAAACTGTGGGAATAAGGTTGAGTTTGTGTGAGTGAGTAGGGTAGCTTCTGTGAATGCCTCACCAACAACACTACGTATGTATGTTTCTGCAGGAAATGTGTGTGTGCTTGTTGCAGTTGTGTGTTTATGTGTGCGTGCTGTGGGTGTCTGGTTATTATACCTGTATCCATCTCAGTGATGGTAGAGAGCTAAGACACCTGGACATGTTCTTCCTCTAATCAAATGGACCTACTATGGCTCCAGTCTCCCACACCTGGGAAATAGAAGACATCTTTGTATCTTTGGGTGAGCACAGACATGGGGTTACTTCCAAAAATGACATTTCATTTGATGCAGGGGGGCGCTCACATGAGGACTTCAAGAGTTGAGAGGGGCCCTGGGCTGATGAGACTCGGGCAGTCTTGTGCTGATCTGAGACATCGCAGTGGGAAGGATGTATTCTTTGATGAATGGATGATATTCTTGGGGCAATCAACCACAGAGGAACTGGTCTACGGCATCGTGGGTGGGGCAGGCCTTGGATTGGCTGGGTGGCTTCAACACAGAATAGTTCTTTCTGTAGGTCTCAGTAAGCTCATCTGCAAATGGAGTTTGTTGTTCTTGGCCTGCATGCTTCTTGGAGATTAGATGAATTTTTTTTTTTTTTTTTGGTTTTTCTCCGGTACCGGGAACCGAACCCACGACCTTGCGCTTGCCAGGCAGGCGCTTTTGCCGCTGAGCTAAATCCCCAGCCCGAGATTAGATGAATTTAAAGGAGGTGATGACAGTGAGTGTATGACTGTCATAATAATAGAACTTTTACGTCCATGCAGCACGTTTGGGTTTTAATCTCTTATGTCATCAGAGTAAATGCCTCAATGGGCAATCCAGCTCTGGACTCAGTGCCAGTGGGCCGTAATAGGTGTCTGTTGAATAAATATATGTGCAATTGAATTAATGAATGCACAGAAAGTAAGTGTGTGGGTAATTGAATGAAGAGATGATTGCATAAAGCAGCAAATGGACTGGGAAATCACAAAGACTAACATTTTTGTGTGCATACGGTACACCAGGGCCTACTGCAAAGGCTTCTCTTAATCCTTGCAACAAACCCAAGAGATTGCTACTATTGTTAATTCCATTTTGCAGATGGAGAAACTGAGGGTGAGAGAAGTCCGTTGACTTGCTAACGCCACAAATCTTCTAAGTGGCAGAGTTGAGATTCTAGCACATGCAGTCTGACTCTAGAGCTCAGAGCATTAAACTGCACTCTGGCCCGGCTAAGTGAGTCACTGAATGAGTGGATGGGTGAAGGGAGAAGTGCAGAGCCTTCTGTGAAGAAGACAAAACACTTTTTTTGTGGTGGTGTTGGGGCTCAAACGCAAGGCCTCAAGCATGCTAGGCAAGTGCTCCACTACTGAACTGCATCCCCTGGCTAAGACAAGCCACTGTCTGATGGGGAGGCAGAAGCTCACGGGGGGTGAGGTGGGTACCCAAACTACACGGGGGGCAGGGTCTCTCTTAAGATAGAGTTCAACGGCCCCGCCTTATGTTCCCACTCTGTCTTCCCTGTCTGCAGGCGGATGCCGCCATGCAGCACTACGGGGTGAATGGCTACTCCCTGCACGCCATGAATTCACTCAGCGCCATGTACAACCTGCACCAGCAGGCGGCCCAGCAGGCCCAGCACGCCCCTGACTACCGGCCATCGGTGCATGCGCTTACACTGGCCGAGCGCCTGGCTGGTAAGAGCCCTGGGGATGGGACCTTGGAGACAGGACCCTGGGGCTGGAGGATGTGGCTCGAGAAGGGGGAGGGAGCACCGGGTAAGCTTACTCCAAGTGGCACAGAAGCTCCTGGTCACACAGAATTGTCATTAGCACAGCCCCGCATTTGGCAGCACTAAGCTGGGCCCTGAAGACACCGTGTGCTTCTACTTCCCATGACAAGCCTGGAGGGGACGTGTCCATTAGGTCCGTCTCAGATGGAGAGACAGGCAGCAGGGCACGGGACTAGCCCACAGGCCAGTGGCTAGAGGGTAGCTGAAAGAGCTCTGGAGTGCCCAGGAAAGGAAACTGTAGGCAGGGGGAGTCCTAAATAATAACAGCTCCCATGGTGTGAGTACAGTTCTGTGCCTGGAACCATTTGAAGCTTTCCTCTCCACATCAAACTATTTAATTCCCATGAAGAGAAATGGTCTCCGTCTTACAACAAGGAGACTGAGGCTCGAAGAGGTTCGATCTGGGTGAGAGCGGGGCTGGAACGTGACCTCCTGGTCAAGAATGTGAGCTGTGGGGTCACAAATTTACAGTCAGTGCAGGGGCAGCTCACTTCACTTCTCTGCGCCTCAGTTTCCCCCGGGGCAGTGGTAGCGTCCATTCTACAGGATGGCTGGGGGGACATTTGAGAAGCATATCCAAAATGTTCAGCAGAGCCTAGTGCTGTTCAGAAGTTATCAGTACCCAACACCCAAGTGCCCAGGAGGGAGCTGCAGTCCCTGGAGTCCCCTGCTTCCGGTTCACCTAGTTTTTCCCCTGGCTGCTTCATGGGCATGAGAAGGATTCAGTGACATACTGGGGAGCTTGATTTCCTGGGAGGTGATCCACCCACTCCTCGCTGTCCCAGCCAAACCCTGAGCAGCTGGTGAACCCATGTGGGCCCGGCCCTGTGCCAGGTGGTCCTCGAGGACTTTGGGCAATTTCTGGAGAAACCAGGTGCCTATCAGTCCACGATAGAGCGTGGTAGACACAACGTGGCCAGGGGCTAATGGGGGGGCAGCTCAGGATCAGCCAGTGGAGTCAGGGAGGGCTCGCTGCAGGCAATTGGACAGCAATCAGGCTTTTGAAAGACACAGTAAGGAAGAAGGTCCAGCAAAAACTGAGGCATAGAAATGAGATGGGGTCTGAGGACCCCACCTGAGCAGAAGTGCCAGCCTGGCAGGGAAGATGAGGTGGCCAGTCCCATTCCTTTAGGCCCTGCCAGGCCTCTGAGCAGGCCTTGGATAAAGTGGAGTACTTGGTCATCTTCTCTAGATCAGAACATTAGTGTCCAGAGTGGGCATGATAGGTCAGTCCTGCTCTGGCCTGGCTACTTCTCAGTCTTGGAGTGGATTCCCTGGGCTCAACCTGGTAGTGACATCAGTGTTCCGGAACCCAGGAACCAGAGCACAAATCAGGGACAGAGGCTCATGTCTACTGTCATGGGCAGAGGAACTGGGGTGTGCAGCCCAACGCATCGTTCTCTAACTCTTAAGAAGGAGGGGAAGGGCCAGGCATGGTGGCACACGCCTGTAATCTCAGCAGTGGGGAGGCTGAGACAGGAGGATCATTGTGAGTTCAAGACTAGCCTGGGCTATAGAGTGAGCTCAGGGCCAATCTGAACTGCATAGCTAGACCCTGTCTCCAAAAGACAAAAAAAAAAAAATTAAAAAAAAGGAGGGGAAGAGCCCCAGTTGGGCCCTTGCATGTAGCCTTCACCGTCCAGCCAGAGGCAGACAATATCCTGGGTGGTTTCTGTGTTACCAGAAACTAGGGCAGGACCATAGACCCGATGGCCCACCAGCTCTGTCTCGCCTCTGGGCTTACTGCTTTGCGACCTGGTCTCTTTGTCCTTCTGTCCCGGGGAAGGCATTCAGAGGGCTAAGAGTGAGCACAACGAGCTTTGTCGAGCTCTGAGGGCTTTGCCAGAGCAGACTGTTTGGGAAAGAAAAGAGCGGGAGCCTCAGGTCCTGCCGTCAGAGATGCATAGGCCATCGGAAAGGATGGGATTTAATGCGGCAAATGGAAAATCCAGAGCTGATGAATTCTGCCTGCCAGCTCCGACCTCCCCTCAGGAGACCTGGAGATGAGGGCCAGCCCTCCACCTGACTTCTTACAGTCAGGGGCCAGTGTTCTGATGCTAAGGAAGCTTTAGTATCCAAAATCTCAGGGCCAGAAGATGGTAGACCAGTGTCACATGAAACTTGCCTCATGTAATCTCAGATTATTATACTCACAGTATCCTGAGACTTTAAAAATCTTAGGGGAGTACCCACCTTACCCCCCTACCCTACTTTCAACCAGATAAGGAAGATGACCCTTGACCACATGCCTGATAGCTTTATTATTATTATTATTATTATTATTATTATTATTTATTATTATTATTTTAGTACAGCTTGCCAGGTAGGCACTGTGCCACTGAGCTGTATCCCTGCCCTACCCCCCTTTTTTTGTTTTTTAAAGATAGGGTCTTGCTGTATAGTTTAGACTGGACTTGAACTCACTTTGTACCCCAGGCTGTTCTTTTTTTATTTTATTTTTATTTTTGTCTTTTTGAAACAGGGTCTCACTATGCAGTTCAGGCTGGCCTTGAGCTCACTTTGTAGCCTAGGCTGTCTTCGAACTCTCAACGATCCTCCTGCCTCAGCCTCCCTAGTGCTGGGATTATGGACGTGCGCTACCACGCCTGGCTCCCAGGCTGTTCTTGAATTTGTAGTAATCCTCCTGCCTCAGCTTTCCCAGTGCTGGGATGACAGGTGATCACTACGCTCAGCTCTGATAGCTACCCCTGAAGCTGAGTTAGACTTCTATAGTGATATAGCAGACAGTGGGGTGGAGAGATTTTGAAAACCCAGGCAGTGGAGACGGGATACTTTCCAAGAGCAAAGAGCTGCCACGTCTGACAGCTGCCTGGCCGTTTGGAGTGGGTCAGAGCAGGCTTAGTTTTGAAACTTATTTCCCGTAATTAAATGGCCCCCTTCTTGTTGCCCTCCAACGGCTGTACATTTCAAGACATCATCTTGGAAGCCCGCTATGGCTCCCAACACCGCAAACAGCGTCGCAGCCGCACGGCATTCACAGCCCAGCAGCTCGAGGCCCTGGAAAAAACTTTTCAGAAGACTCACTACCCAGATGTGGTGATGCGCGAGAGGCTGGCCATGTGCACAAATCTGCCTGAGGCCCGGGTGCAGGTAGGACCCTGCTTCCCAAGACCTTGCAGAGAAGCACCAGCCCGTCCATCTGGTCCCCACTGTCCAGGAGCCAGCATCTGCTCCATCCATCCCTCCACCGATGCCTTCAGCTGCAGGAGAGGCGGCCTGGGAAGGATAGAGGGATGGGACTCCCAGAGGTGTGGGAAATCCCACTATCATCCACATCCTACCCCAGAGTGCTGAGCGCTACAACAACCCCGCTTGTTATTTACTCCCTCCCTCTGACTGCTCCTTTCTTTGTCCCTAGGTGTGGTTCAAGAACCGCAGGGCCAAGTTCCGGAAGAAGCAGCGCAGCCTGCAGAAAGAACAGCTCCAGAAGCAGAAGGAGACTGAAGGCCCCCAGGAGGAAGGCAACGTCGAGCCCCCAATCCCCGACACTCAGCTGGAGGCAGACCAGGCCCCCAGTCTGCCCAGTGCTGATGCCTCTGCCGATCTTCACCTGAGCCTGTCGGAGCAATCGGCTAGTGAGTCAGCCCCCGAGGACCAGCTGGACCGTGAGGAGGACCCCCGGGCTGGGGCTGAGGATCCCAAAGCTGAGAAGAGCTCTGGGGCTGACAGCAAGGGCCTGGGCTGCAAGAGGGGCAGCCCCAAGGCAGGTGAGGCTTGGGGGACACTGCAGGTGAACTGGGGCCCCAGCTGTTATGGGTGTGAGCAGGGAAGAGTCCACAGTTAGCTCTCAGGAGCAAGGCTAATTACCCAGAAGTGCCATGGTAGACCTGGTCCAGGTGTTCACCCTTTAGTTACTGAGTTGTGGGAAGATCTAGAGCAGTGATGGCGAATCATTGCATGTGTGCCACAGGGGCCTGTTTGTTATCATGGGAAGCTTTGAAAGGTTCGCCATCACTGGTCTAGAGGGTCCTGGGGAGGGGCTGTGAGGCAGGGAGGAGCGTTCGGGGAGCTCAGGGCAGAGATGATTTACAACCATTCGAAGCACTCCAATGTTTTAATAGCCAGTATAGACGTACCAGTGTATACTGGGTTTATTCAATACTGGTACTGGGGAGTCCCATGTGCGGCAGAGACTTCCCTTCAAATTCCTTTTTTTCTTTTCCTTTCCATTCCTTTCCTTTCTATCCCCTTCCCCTCCTCCTTCCCTTTTCCCGTCCTCTCTTTTCTCTCTCTCTCTGTCCCTCTCCCTCTCCCTCTCTCTGTCTTTCTTAAGTACTGAGGATTGAACCTAAGGCTCACACTGAGCTACATCTCCAGCCCTTTTTATATTTTTATTTTGAGACACAGTCTCACCAAGTTTCTAAGTTGCCTAGGCAGAGCTTGCATTTGCTATCCTCCTGCCTCAGCCTCCCACAATGCTGGGAGTTCAAGCATGCACCACCACATCCAGCTAAATTCACACTTTCCTTAGGCTTTGGTCCCATGTTCTTGCAGCTCAGGAGTCCTGTTCCTCCTTGTGGAGAGGGCACCTGTTGAATGGGTGTAGAGGACGGGACCCTTTGGGGTTGGCACCTGCCTTCTCATCTCTTTCCAACAGAGGTGCCCTGGGCCGGAGGCCCCTTCTCCCAAGTTATGTTTATGAAAGAGCAGAGCTGTGGCAGGAGGCACAAACACCACTCCCAGGCATGGGGTGGGGGGATGGGGGGGTAAGGGGGCAGGAACTCTGAGCTCAGGGCTGGAGGGAGGCAATGGGAGCTGTGGAGAGTAGGGGAAGCAGTAGCGGCAGGAGATAAAGAGGATCTTTACGGACTCAGAGGTGGGGGCCTGGGCCTGCTCCCTGGAGCTTCCCCAGGTCTCTCTTCCCCTGAGACTCCGAGGGCCTCCTGAGGGATGCCTCGGCTGGGAAGGGAGGGATATGCCCTCAGCCAAAGCCTGTCCTGGCAGCGGGGCCGCAGACAGGAGAACAAGAGCACCTCCTGGCAGACTTGTCCCCTCGTCCTGAGCGCTTGGTTCTTGGTTGTCTGCTTGCAGATTCCCCGGGCAGCCTGGCCATCGCTTCTGCTGCCCCGGGGGGCGGCCTCCTGGGTCCCTCCCACTCCTACTCCTCGTCCCCGCTGAGCCTCTTCCGTCTGCAGGAGCAGTTTCGCCAGCACATGGCGGCCACCAACAACCTGGTTCACTACTCGTCCTTTGAAGTGGGAGGCCCGGCCCCCGCTGCGGCTGCCGTGCCCTACCTGGGTGTCAACGTGGCCCCCCTGGGCTCCCTGCACTGCCAGTCTTACTACCAGTCCCTGTCCGCGGCCGCCGCTGCCCACCAGGGCGTGTGGGGGTCCCCGCTGCTGCCTGCGCCCCCTGCAGGCCTGGCGCCGGCCTCCGCTGCCCTGAACAGTAAAACCACCAGCATCGAGAACCTGCGGCTCCGGGCCAAGCAGCACGCAGCCTCCCTGGGACTCGATACGCTGCCCAACTGACTGTGTTCAGGCCAGCCACGGGGCGTGGGTGACCCCCTCCCGGCCCCATGGTTTTCCCCAGAAGGCTCGAGGAGGTCGTTTTAGGAGCCCAGGAATCCGGGGGCCTGAGTCTTCTCCCCTCTCTTCCTCAGAGCCACAGCCCCAGGTGAAACCTATGCACCCTCTGCATGGCCCTGCTTGGACCCCATGGGGGCAGAATGGGGAGGAGGTGAGGGGCAGGCTAGCCCCTCCTCAGTGTCGCCTCCTCCCTGCCCCCTTCAGCCCCTCGTAAGTTGATGTGTGGAATGTGAGATATAAATATAAATATATAAAGCTCTATTTTCAGGCGCTGCCTGCCCCAGGCCCCTACGCTGCTCCTGCTGCTTCTGCCCGCCATCCTCGCTCCCCCTGCGGCATCTGCAGCCCCCTCCAGCCCTCCCATCTCTGTTCGCCTTCCTCTCCCTCCCTCCGGGTCCCGGGCCCCCTCTGCCTTCCCCACCTGGATCTCTCTCCGGGTCTCTTCCTGCTGTCCCTTTGGTGCTGGCTGTGTTGGTGTCATCAGTTCCTCAGCTGTATTTTGTTCGGGGTTGTGGTTTTTTGGTTTTAGTAATTTTGCTTCTTCCTGTTTCTCTCCTCCCTCCTGGCTTCTCCCCTGCCTGCCTGCTTCCTCCCTTCGCCTGCATTCTCCTTAGGGTGCCGGGCCCAGAAGACCCTGTGGCAGCAGGCGGGAGGTGGTCCTGTCCCCCGCTCCTACCCTCCCCAGCCTTGACATCTGGAAGGGGGCGTGAGCCACTTTCTGTTCTTTCCTCAGTTTGGAGGCCCAGTTTTCCCAGCCCAAGGAGGAGGGCGTGGAGGCCAGAGTGGGCAGTGAGATGGCCGGCGCCCCTGCACATACTTCCTCCAAAGCCAGTGTCCCCCAGGTCTGACCAGGGCTCTAACACCCGCTTCCGTAAGATCTCCCTGGTTGTAGGGAGGCAGTAGGGGAGAGGTACTGTCAGAGAGAACCGGGCTGGTGCTCCCCTCTCAGTCACAGCCTTCAAGTTCAGCAGTTTCTGTTCTTCCTCGGAGTGTGTCTGAGCCAGGAATGCAGGCTGAACTCAGGATTCTGATCACAGTGAGTGCATACCACACGGCAATGTGTACTTTCAGGCTTCTCTTCACAGACCAGCAGTGGAAATATTGAGCTGGTCACCGGCACAGAAAGGCGTGTTCCTGTTGTGGCCAGCAGCCTGGCTCGGCAGATCCCCTTTTGCAGAGGTGTGACCTTGGACAAGCCCAAAGCTCCTCCTCTGGGACCATGTCCCCAGCTCATTAGATGGCCTATAAGATCTTGTCCAATATTCTGCATTCTGTGCTTACAGCCTCAAAGGACAGGAGTTTTTAATTAAATCTAACAACAACTGCAACAGAATGCTCTGAATATATAAATTGGAGAATTGCTGTTGACTTGCTGTGGAGCAGTGAGTACTGTACGCAGGAACCCGTCTGTTGACACTGTTTCCCAGTGGAAACAGTGGAATGGTTCCTTTCTAGTGCAGATGATACCGGGCGCGTTCAGGGTGGTACGGCCGTAGACTTTAGTTCAGACAATCTGGGTTTATCCTGCTTTGCTTGAGTCCCAGTGCCAGCCTCTGGGGTCACCCCATTTCCATGTCCATGGTCAAGGGGGAAGGGAATGGCTTGGACAGACTCCTGGTCATCACCCCCAGCTCTGTGGCTCACCACTGGGCTTCCCACCCTCTGCTTAGAGAAGCTGAACGCCAGGGTCACTGTTCCTAAGGTTTGTCTTTCTCCCATGGGCGCCCTGGTAGGATTGGCTTGCAGGGCTGTCACGTCCATCATCTTTTGGAGGCCATTCTGGGGGGAGCAGATGGAAAAAGCTTTGGACAGGAAAAAGTGAGGAGGGTGGAGGTGTGGGCCAGGAAAACCATTTGAACAAAGCAGGGGGAGTGAGACTAAGTGGACCGTGGGGTTGAGGGGCCTGGAATCCAGGCTAATGAGCCCACCTCCTTGTGGCAAGTACTCGCAAGGGTTTTTGAATTGGGTGTCTTGCTGAGATCTAGAATTGGGAAGGTGAATTCAAAGCCATGGGAGCATCAGAGGAGGAGAGACCTAGGCAGGGGGATGGGAGGGTGGCCAAGGCTATGGGAGACACAGAAGGCGTTTTATGTTTGGAACCAGTTCTGTGGCCCATGGCCCATTGACTGTCCTTTGTGGTCAGCTCCAGGGAATTCTGTTTCCAAAACAAAAAAATCTCATGTGGACCAGGCACGGTGTGGAAGCTTCCTGTCTGTCCATGGATGCAAATGACTGTTGCTTGGCCTTGGACTCCAACAGCCCTAAACACCATCACCTCCTGATCACCTGAGGGGCAAGTCCACCTGTTGCAGTGTCCTATCACGGCAACAGCCAGGCCCCTCTTAGGCGCATCCTGTCTCCCTCAGATCCTTGTCAACACTTCTGTCACTCACCGATCCAAACCTACCAGCCCAGAGAAGGCAGGGAAGGTACATGAGGTTCTGGCCTTTGGGGAGTCTCAAGTGAGTTTAGAGTGCCATCCCGAAAGCAGATGGAGATAAAAGGAGGGTGGCCTTGTAGGAGGTAACAATGGGGGTCCTTGACATGAGGAATCAGAGGACATGAGCTTGTGTGGACCCTCACCCGCCATCCACGGACCCCGGAGCCTCTCCCAGGCCTGCCGGGCCACCTTGAGGGCCAAGAGCCTGAGGCTAAAGCCCCAACTCTCCCTTCCAGGAAGCCTCATGCCACTCTGCTCCCTTCTACTTGAAGTCTGCTCTTTCCTGCTTCCCTGCTCTCCCGGAGTGTGCTCCAGGGGGCTGGGGCCCCTCCTCGACTCTGAAGGCTGGTGTTCTGTACAGACCGCTTTCCAAACCAGCCGCTTTGTGACCCTTTGTGGTTAGAGGATGTGCCAGCCTGTGGCAAAACACTGTGTACTGTATTTATTTATTCTGTTAGCTGAAGAAACAAAACTCAAACCATCCTCTTCCCCTTGTCCTGCCCCCTGCGTAGTGCAGCATGATATTCTGTCCCTTGTATCTGTCCGTTTGTCTGTCTTACTTCCTGTGATGTTGTGACCTGTTCTTTGTCCTACTTGGCTAATAAAAGAGAACCTGGTAGCCCAGCCCTTGATCCACGTTCATTCCCAGGGATGCCTGCAGTGGGCTGAGCGGGTGGCACCACAAGGTCTATTCAGCGTCTCTCTGCTCCTGCTACACAGCAGGCCTCCTGCAGTCGCCACTCCTGAGCTGTCCTTACAGCTCTCCTTGTGACCCTTACCAACCAACCTGCAGCTGGTGTGAACGCAGGGGAGCAGAGGCTGGTGGAGAGCGCCATCTTCTCTGGGCTATTTGGGCCTCACCAAAGCACTGGTAGCAGGGAAGCTGGGGCAGGAGACATCTGGCATAGGACCCCCAAGAGTAATCATGGTAACCTGAAGGGATAGGGCTGCAGGGTGGAGGGAGGGAGACGATCCTGTAGAAAGCCATGAGCAAGCCAGGGCCAAAAAGGAATGACAGGGAGACACATCTGGATCTAAAGCCAGAGCTGCTCCCAGGGGAACAGGTGGCCTTCAGAGGGAGTGAGCTCTTGGTCCTCAGAGGTGAGCAGGGTGTATGTGTGTTGCTGAAAGTCTGTGTGCAGGTATGAGAACCTGTGCCGTGAGCTCCTAAATGACAGGAGGGAGAGACCATGGAACTGTATACAGGCAATAACTGCCGGAGAAGTGCACAACTCAGAAGTTCTTGCTGTGAACTCTTGGTTCCTTCTGCTCCATTTCAAGAAAAACAGGACCAGAGCTCTCCACCATTCTGGCTCTACCTCCCTTCCCTGAGTTCCAGAGCCAGAAGCGGGTGCACACACGGGGCGCTTGGGGTTTGAGGGCCTTCTCTGTTGGAGGCCTGCAGGGAGCTGTCTGCTGGGCTTCCCGGGGGCGGGGCCTGACCTCCCCACTTCCCAGGTCACTTCTACCCCAGGAGACACATTCCTCTCTCCCCAGTGGGGCTGAGGATTAGGGCGGGGAGCATCTCCTTCACCTAGGCTCCCTGGCTCCCTGGGAGGGGCTGACAGATCGAATGTCCGCCTTGCAAACCTGTGCCTCCTACATACCTCAGCCTCCAGGGACACACCTTCCTTGGCATAGAGGGTGTGCTGGTGACACTGCAGTTAGGATCACTCATTCACTCAGCGTTGGCCGAGCACCTGCTCTGTGTGTGTGCCTGGCCCTGGGCTGGGTGCTGAGAAGCAAAGGAACAAATAGGGAAAATGTGTCCCTGAAATCACAGCACAGGGTGATTGAGGGGATTCAAAAGCAGGGAACTGGGGCTGGGGATTTAGCTCAGTGGCACAGTGCCTGCCTGGCAAGCGCAAGGTCGTGAGTTCAATTCCCGGTACCAGAAAAAAAAGCAGGGAACTGTGACTCCAGAGAGGGTTCCTAGCGCAGCTGGGGAGGTCAGGAAGGCCCGCTGGGAGGGAGCTTTGGCCTGAGTCCCACAGGTCCAGTGTCCCACAGGTGGGTGTGGGTGTCCAGGGAGAAGCATAGTGTCCAAGCTGTAGGAATGGCGCCTGGAGCCCTGGAAGAGAAGGGGCCTGTCTGGGTTGGGGATGTGCTCGAGACCATTGGGGTGTTGCCAGTACATAAAGGCAGAAAGTGAGGCCAGGGCCTTAGCCTGAGGCAGGCCAGGACCCTGAGGGCACTGGAAGCTATTTCCAGTGGGAGAGGGGTGATAAGACTTCTATTTCAGTAACTGCGCCCCTCCTTCTGTTGCATGGTGGTTCATGCGAAGGAAGAGCAAGAGCCAGGGTGACCAGAGAAGAGGTCCTTGTCCACGGTCCTGGCATCATGTGGGAGAGGGGAGTGGGGGAAGGGAGAGAGGTCACCGTGATGCGAGATTCAGGAAGTAAAATCACCATGGTGACTGCAGGGCGGGAGGGGTCAAGTATACTCCCAAATCTGGCTGTCGACCTGTTGGAGAGGTGAGGACCCCTGCACTGCTGGGGTAAGTGTTAGAGAATGCTCCTGAGCTCAGAGCTCTTGTGTGCTGTGTCTGAGGAGCCTTCAGTTTATTCAAGGGGAAGATGTTAGGTCTGTCTCTGCTGCTACTTTATTTGACAAACACGTAGTACTCTCTCTGTGCCTGGCGCCTTATAAATAAGTCACTTGATCCTCATGAAACTCTAAGGTAGGTACAATTATGATTCCCATTTGACAGCTCAGGAAAGTGAGGCACAGAGCAGTTAAATCACTTGCCCCGGACCACAAGCTAGTCATGGGCCCACACATGTATCTACCCAGTTAATCTTGGGATCTGGACCTTTAATCTTGATGGCTGCCAATAGGGAGATGGTGACCAGAGCCACACTGCTAAAGGAGACCCCACAGACAGGAGGTTGAGGTTGAGACCTGTGTGAAATGCTGGCTGTGACACAAAGAATTTTACGGATAATGGAACTGGGACAAGCCGGTCTGTGCGCGCTGCTTCTGTGGGCCCCTCTGTGGTCCCGCTTCCTGTCCTGTGGGATGGGAGCCGTCTGCTCTGTCCAGCCTGCCTGCTGCGAGGTGCAGGTGAGATAAAGGGGAGAAGGCAGCAGGGGAGGTAGAAGGCAAGGTACCCAGGCAGCCCATGGGGCATGAGATGGGAAGGGCAGGAGGTCTCCCCAAAACTTCTCGCCCAGTTTCCCCTCTCTTAGGCCTTGGCCCCATGTTCGTTCAGCCTGGGGGGTCTGGTTCCTGAGGGAGCCCTGAGGAAGGGACACCTGCTGAAAGGGCTGGGGGAGACGGACCCCTCTAGGCTGGGCACCTGCCTCCCCATCTCTTTCCCACAGAGCCCCCACCCCTAATCTCTCATTCTCCTTTTGCTTCTGGGAAAGCCGATTAGGAGGCGGCCTTCGGCCCGCCCCCCTGACAAGTTTGTCTGAACTCCCAACAAAGGCCCTCAGAGGCTGCGGAGGGAGAGCTCAGGCACGGGAACCTGACACCGCCGGTGCTGGGGGGCGGCTCTGCTCCCCCAGGAAAGCAGGAATGTGCCTCCCAGGGGACCTGGTCCCACAAAGGCCCAAGGGCCAGGCAGGGGCAGGCAGGCTGGGGGAATCCACCTGAGAGCTCTCACAACAGGGGAGATGACAGAGGCCTGTGCTCTCCCAGTCCCACATTCACAGCACACACAAACACGGACATGTTCTGTCTCACACACAAGCTGTGCTCACTTCTGCACTCATCCACAAATCCCAGGGTGTCTTCTCCCTGTCTCTTACACGGACGGATGGACGTACACACGCCCTATAAACCAGCAGACACACAGCCCCTGTCTGCCACCCGGATGCTCCCCACACACCTGCCCCGTGCTTTCTCACACTGCCACTGCACACTCAGAGACTCAGGGTGCAGCTCCAGCTCCCCGAGAGATGGCCAGCGCAGATACTCTGGGACTGCTGTCCTGATGACATTGCTCCAAACCCCACATGAGGGTCCAGCCGTAGCCCATGGCTATGCGTGTGTCCACAGCCACTCCCACTCCTCCATCCCAGCAGGGGTCCTGAGCCTCCTCTCATGCACTTCTTCCTTCCCAGGACCATTTCCACGACACGTTGCCTGTAGTTATACAGGGCTCCAGGCTCAGAGGGCCCCTAGAGTCTGATGTTACCTTGAAATCCTTAGGTTTTGTTTTGTTTTAGACAGGGTCTCTCTATGTAGCTCAGGCTGGCCTCAAACTCATAGTGATTCTCCTGCCTCAGCCTCCTGAGTGCTGGATTTACAGGCATTTGCTACTAGGCCTGGCTGAAATCCTTAGGTTTTTTTGTTTTTGTTTTTGGGCTTTTGCAACATGAACTCAATCTTATTCTTTTTTTTGGGGGGGGGGTACAGGGAATTGACCTCAGGACCTTGCGCTTGCCAGGCAGGTGTTTGTGCCACTGGGCTATATCCCCGGCCCTTTTTTTGCCTTTTTGTGACTGGGTTTCACTATGCAGTTCAAGCTGGCCTTGAGCTTACTCTGTAGCCCAGGCAGGCCTTGAACTCACAGAGATCCTCCTGCCTCAGTCTCCTGAGTGCTGGGATTATAGGTGTGAACCACCATGCCTGGCTAAAATCCTTAGTTTTTAAACAAGCATCTCTAAATTTTCATTTTGCACTGGACCCACAAATTATGAAACTAATCTTGCTCCTTCATCACAATATCTTTAAGCCAAGCCACCAGTGACAGCCTTTAGTGGTCCTGAACCTGTCTAAGTGCCTCCATTTCCCCTTTCAGCCGGAGCTTCCCTCTCCACCCTACCCCTCACTAGACAGCTGAGTGTGATGGAAGGGAACGACTAAGAGCACACTGCACATCTACACACATCCTTCCCGAGCTACCTCCGGGCTTAGTATCCTCAACTGTAAAATAGGACTAGTGATGGTGCCTGGATTAGGATTCTTTGTGAGATAACATCTGTAAAACACTAAGCTCAGGTTTGGCATTTAGTAAGTGCTCAATAAACGTTTATTAGTATTACATTCTTATAAGCAAACAAAATAGATTCATCCCTGTAGTCTAGTGGGTAAAACAGATTACTCAAATAATCACCTGTATCTAAATGTAAAGTAGCAGGGTGAGGAAGAAGCACTCGCACCTCTGACCTCATAGGGCTTACAGTGAAAGGGAAAGGCTAGGATCAGAGTCCAGTCTAGGGCAAGTCACATCTCTATTAGAGGCTGATTGGGCTCAGACAGGGCCAGGGCAAAAATGCAGTCTGGGCCAGGGCTAGCACTGACTTAGAGTGGACCAGGCTCCTCAGATGTTCCATTTCATCGTCTGTAAAATGGAGAGACCTCTGCTTACCCCTAGGCTTGTGGGAACTGAGTGAGCTAATAACAGAAGTGAAGGATTAAGCTGCCACTAATGACTCTAAGCCTGGCCCCCCAGGTCTCCTCCACCTTCCAGTCCGGGAGGCCATGCGGCCGTCACCCATGTCTCCAGCTGCGGGAGCAGCCACCTCAACTGGGACCTTTTCCAAGAGGAGTCTGGAGATTTCGCAAAGCCCTTTGAACAACAAAGGCTGTGGGAGTGGTATTTCCTCCCAGGGGCTGACCGCCCAGTGGCTCCTTTATCTTGGCCACTGGGCCAGGGCTCGAAGAGCTGT